TGCCCCGCCCCCGGCCTGCCCTGCCCCGCCCCTGCCTCGGGTGGGGCTGAGGGCTCTGGAGAAGCCTGGATGGCCCGGGGGACAGAGACAAAGAAAAGGTCTCTGGAAAGGGAGACCGAGGAGGGATGGGGAAAGAGGCACAGCGGGCTCGGACCGAAACAAAGAAAGCAGTGCGGCTGGTGGGGGTATCTGGAGTAACGGGGGTGCCCTGGAGGACTCCAGCCTGGGTGTCACACCCTCCACCGGTCGCGCGGAAGAGACTCACACCGAGGAGGGCGTGGAAGACCGGACGCCTAGGCGAACGTGCGGGAATTCAGTTTGAGCCCCCTGCCCCCTTCCCCCCGCACCATGTTCCCCTACCCCAGCCCCGCCCACCGTAACCCGCACTCAGCAAGTTCCCTGGCCTTGATCCGACCTGCCCCAGAAGGTTTGCCCGCCGTCTTGCACAATAGCACAAGGAAAGGAGGGGGGCAGGGAGGGCTCGAGCCCAAAAGCCCTCCGACCTCAGCGCCAGGCGGGCATTCCTCGGGCGTAGCGTATGGGTAGCCCAGGAGGCGGCTTGTAGGACAGGGTAAGTCAGGAATGGAAAAAGCAATAGCACTTTACAGTTTGCAAAAGACTGCTGGATTCAAAACCCAGGGGCTGGCATGGACTTTGGTATCCGGCCAGTGGAGCCGGGCATGGGTGGGTCATCGGACCAGAGGAATCTGTTTCGGTCCTACTCTCAGGTCCTCCCAAGCTGGTAGGGGAGACAGTCGACTGAACAACTGGGATCCCACAATCAAAGACTGGGGTGGCAGAGGCCCTTCTTGGTTGCTGATACTCAGATTTCCTGTCCTGCATCCCAACAAAGATCATCCAGTTTCTGCTTGCTCGCCCCTGGTGACTAGATGCTCACCACTTCTCGGAGCAACCCATCGCGTTATTGGATAACTACTACTGTAACCATACATGGGGCAGAAAACGATAATAAAAGTTAACATGAGTGAGCATCTGTAATTCAGTACTGTCAGCACAGTAGGAGGGAGGTTTGAAATTGATTAATGTGATGCAAACATTCATTTACGCGTTCAGTCACTCATCTGTCATCCAGCAAACAGGTTTTGAAGACCTTCTTCCAGCTGGGCCCCCTACAAGATGCTGGGGGCTGAAAAGACAAGGAAACCCAAGCTGCCCTACCTGCTCCATGACCCTAAACAAGTGGTGTTACTCTTTGAACCTCGGTTTCCTCATCTGTGAAATGAGAATAATGACCTTTCACTGTGAAGATTAAATGAGATAATAAAGTGCATAGCACAGTGCCTAGCGCGCAGTCAGGCATCTCTCAGTACACAGAACCTGTTATATTTTTTGTCACCGTCCCTGCCCTCAAGAGCATATAGAGACTGAGAAAGGAGCAGAACAATCTGTTTGAGGAAAATCACAGAGGGAGTAGTACCAGATTAGAAGCTGAAAGATAAGAATTTTGATAGCAGATACTAGGGAGCAGCATTCTGGGTGGTGGGGACAATACAGGCAAAGGTATGATGGCCTTTGAGAGCAGAGTCATCAGGTAGAGGTGAAGTCAAGCTGGCAGGGAGGACTGGTTTCCTGTTACAGAGGCAGAAACTGAGGACCAGAGAGGGAAAGTGTCTCACCAAGTTCACACAGCAAAGTAAAGGTAGAACCCAGCCAGAGGCCAAGTCTCCTGATGCCCGGTGTCTGATTCTCTTTGAACAACCAGAGGCAAGTGATGCTGGTAGCCTCATTTCATTTTTCCCATGGCCCAAACTGGCAGGAATTTCTAGGGACTAGAAGGGCCTGCTTTGCCCAGGGAGGGGCTAGAGAGCTGCCAGCCTACCTGGCTGGAGCCAGGTGGCATCTGGATGCCCCAGGGCATCTCCTCAGCCTAGCTGGAGACCTGGGCCAGTTGGGGTAGAGGTGGGGCTGCAGGTAGACTTTCCCCAGTCTTCATGGTGCACCCAGACCCCAGGAAACACCCACAAACTTCCCCCAAGGCCTCCAGGACTGTGGGATTCTGGGGGGACCTCTTGACTTTGGAGACCCTCTGACGCATGTCACTTAAACCCTCTGAGCATCTATAGCTTCATATGTGGAGGCAAATGAGACTGTGGAAGTGAAAAGGTACTGTAAACTGTAGGATGCTCTGCACATGTGTAAATGGCTCCTCTCACATCTTGGGGCCTGTTCCCTCCAATTCAAGGTTCAAAATTTGTCTGGGGTTAGAGGTGGAAGGGAACTGATTGCAAAAAATCACAAGATAATCTATGTAAATATACATGTAGAAATTGTTGAAATGGTATATCTTGCTGTGTATACATTCACCAAAAAAATAAAATAAAATAAATGGAATTTAAAAAATCAGGAGGAACTTTTATGGGGGATGGAAATGGCCTATATCTGACTAGGGTGGTGGTTACACACAAGTATATATTTGTCAAAACTCATCAAACTGTACTCTTAAAATGGATGCATTTTATTCTTTGTAAATTATGCTGCAATAAAGTTGTTTTAAAAATGAAAACCAAATATATCAAGCACCTACTACGTGTCAATTGCTTTTCTAAGTGTTGAGGATACATCAATATACAAGATAGTCAAGGCCCCCACCCTCATGGAGATTGTATTCTCATGCTGGGGGGAGAAAGCCAGTAAGTAAATAAGATGACTTCAGATAGTGATAAGCTCAAAGAAGAAACTAAAACAGCATGATGGGATAGGATGACAGGTGGGGGATGCCACCTTGGAGAAGGTTGTAAAAGAAGCCCTCTCAGAAGAGGTGACACTGAGACCTGATCGGCAAGAAGGAGCCTTCGTCGTGAATGGGGACTGCTGTTGTTGTTGTTAGTTGCTGTTGAGTCGGCTCCAACTCGTGGTGACCTTGTGTATAACAGATTGAAATTTTGCGCAGTCCTATGCCATCTTCATGATCTTTGGTATATTCCAGTCCATTGTTGTGACTGTTGTGTCAGTCCATCTCATTAAGGACTTACCTCGTTTCTGCTGACCCTCTAGCAAACTTGGCGACCTTTTTGTCCTTTTTAGCCACTGATCTTTTCCTGATGGCATGTCTGTTTATGGAGCAGGTACCATGTGCCAGGTATCATGCCAAGGGCTTCCCACGCCTCAGCCCATGCAGTCCTCACAACACCTGCTGTGATAGGAATGGTCACACCCATTTTACAGTTGAATACATTATTGCAAAGATTTTTAAACAGTGATATTTCATTGTCTGCATATTAAAAAAAAATTGCCGTTGAGTCGATTTCAACTCATAAGCACCCTGTAGGACAGGGTAGGACTGCCCCATAGAGTTTCCAAGGCTGTAATCTTTATAGAAGCAGACTGCCACATCTATCTCCCCGGGAGAGGCTGGTGGGTTAGGACAGCTGACCTTTTGGTTAGCAGCCAAGCACTTAACCAGTATGCCACCAGGGCTCCTTTGTCGGCTCCTTATTTCAACATTGGAATAGGTGAGGCGGGCATGAAAGGGCCTGCCAGGCAAAGGTTTCAGTATCAGCAAAGGCAAGAAAGAAGAGTCCTTATGGGCTGCTGGTTCAGAAGGCTGTTCCGCGATTTTCTGCAGGGAAGAGAAGAGAGGGGCCCTGCTATGGGTAGGTGGGCCAGATGGGAAGTCCCCTTGAGCATCCAGAATAGTTTTTGTTTGTTTGTTTACTTTATTCTGGGAAGATTGTAACAGTCTTTAAAAGTTCTTAGTTCTCCACTTGTTAATGTCAGGACAGTTATGATCTTTGGATGGTGGAAGAAATGAAAACTGTGTGTGTATGTACTTAAGGAAAGAAAAATTAATACAGTCATCAACACTATGAGGAAGAAGAAAGGATTCCAGGAAGTTAGACATCAGGAGGATTTCTCAACTCTAAAACGTTGGGAACTCCTGCCCTTCCTCTGTCTGTCTTTTTATTGGGGTGTCTACTTTTTTTCTCATTGATTTATAGGCACTCTTTCTTCAGCAAGAAATTCTCAACTCTGCCAGGTTTGGTGGAGTGGAGGGGGAAGAGGGAAGAGGGTTCTCTGCTCTTCTTCTAGGGCTCTGGATGCCGTCCTCTACCACCAGGGTCTCCTTCCTCCCTTTCTTGGCTCAGGCCCTGGAGCCTGGTGGAAGACACAAGGGGTGTGGATAAAAGGCAGGGATGGTCCTGATCTAGAGCAGAGAGGAAAGGTTTTTCCCCTGCCCACCTTCGGGCCTGCCCCGCCCAATGCCACCTACAGTCCCTGACTCATCGGTCCTTCTTCAGGAAGTAGCTGCTGCCAAGCTCGCCACAGGGCAGCCCTGTCCTGCCCCACCCTTAAGCACGTTTGGAACAAGGGACCCAAACCTGAAGAAGAATAATATTTTGAAAGGGAGGGTCCAGAAGATCAGAGCCAGAGCTTGAATGGAGGCTCAGAGAAAGGAAGGAATTTGCCCCAGATCATGCAGCAGGAGACAAGGCCAGGCCCCCTTCCTTGTCCTGTAGGAAGGGGAGGAGCCCTTCCTCACCCCATTGGTCCTTCTCCCTCCCAGTTGGCCCTGAGCCCCAGCTCTGCTCTCCCTGCAAACCTGTCAGACCTGAAATAGCCCTGGAGGAAAAATACGAACACTTCAGGTAAACAGCAGAGAGTGTAAATGAATCAGGATTTTGTTTTTAAGGACTATCATGTGTCCACCTCCGTTTACCCACTTGGCATGGCCTGTTGTGCGGAAGGGACCCTGGCACTCTGCCCGGACCTCCCCTCTTTATTAACTGTTGGGTGGTGGAAGGAGCTGCAGCTCACAGCCTGTTCCATCTGTCACCTGGCCTCTGGCTGCTAAACTCCCTTCTTGCTCCTTCAGTAGCCAAGCCATCCCCTCTCCCCAGGTCTACCGCCAGGCCCCC